CCCCGTGCCCGAGCGGGGGACCGGCACCGGGAGCGCAAGCCTTGGCGTTGCTCCCGTGCCTCGCTCAGCCAGTGAGCGAACCGGCCATCCCTATGTGGGATCCGAACCCTCGGACGGGAGCGCCGCCGCGCTTCCCAAGCGGCGCACTATCCAGTGCGCCACCGGGCCGGCCCAATCAGGGTTTTTTTTTTTTGCGGGGGGGAGGTGAATATGGCTTTAGTGTGTGATCTTTTTGTGATTTGGATTTTGGTTGCTTAGAGGCTTTTTTTTTGCTATTCAATTTTTTTTACTGAGATATAATTTATATACCATAAAATTCACCCTTTTAAATTATACAATTTAGTGTTTTTTAGTGTACTCACAAAGTCATGCAATCATGACCATCTAATTCCAGGACATTTTCATCACTCCAGAAAGAAACCCCCATAAAGCCACTCTTTATTCCTCTCTCCAGCTCCCTTGCCCCATACTCCCCAAAATCCTTGGCAATCAGTAATATCTACTTTCTGTCTCCGTGGATTTGCCTGTTCTGGACATTTCATATAAGTGGAGTCAAATAACATGTGGCATTTTGTGTCTGGCTTCTTTCACTTAGCATGTCTTCACAATTCATATATATTATAGCATGTATCAGTACTTCATTCCTTGTATAGCTAAATAATATTTCCGTATATAGATATACCACATTTTGTTTATGGACATTTGGGTTGTTTCTACTTTTTGGCTATTATGAATAATGATGCTGTGAACATTTGTGTACAAGTTTTTTGTGACTATGTGCTTTCACTTCTCTTGAGTATATACTGGAGTAGAATTGCTGAGCCATATGGTAATTGTAAGTTTAACTCTTTGGGGAACATCCAAACTGTTTCCACAGTGGCTGCACCATTTTATATTCTCCCGGCAATGTATGAGGGTTCTCATTTCTCACTAACACTTGTTATTGTCTTTTTGGTTATAGGTATCCTATTGGGTTTGAAGCAGTATATCAAGGTTTTGAAATGCATTTCCCTAGTGGGCAGTGATGTGAACATCTTTTCATGTGCCTATTGAATGTTTGTATACCTTCTTTGGAAAAATGTGTATTCAGATCCTTTGCCCATTTTTTAATTGAGTTATTTGTCCTTTTATTACTGAGTTGTAACAGTTCTTTGCATATAGTGAATACTAGACTCTCACCAGATATATAATTTGTAAAACTTTGTTTATACCCATTCTGTGGGTCATCTTTTTACTTTGTTGATAGTGTCCTTTGAAGCACCAACATTTATAATTTTGATGAAGATTAATATTTTTTCTTTTGTTGTTTGTACTTTTAAGAAGCCATTGCTGATTCAAGGTCAAGAAGATTATGCCTGTTTTTTCCTATGAGTTTTATAGTTTTAGCTCTTGCATTTAGGTCTTTGATCTATTTTGAGTTAGTTTTTGTATATGGTGTGAGGTAGAGGTCTAATTTCATTCTTTGGCATGTGGCTATTCCTTTGTTCCAGCACCATTTCTTGGAAACATTGTCCTTTCTACATCAAATGGACTTGTTGCCCTGGTTGAAAGTAAATTGACCATAAATGTAAGGGTTTGTATCTGAATTCTCAATTCTATTTCATTAATCTGCATATCTGTTCTGATAAAACTACCACTTGAAGCTTTGTAGTAAAGCTTTGAAATCAAGAAGGGTAAGACCCCTAACATTGTTCTTTTTCACAATTGTTTTGGCTATTCTGGATCCTTTGTGTTTCTATATAAATTTAGTATCAGCTTGTCAATTTCTACAAAAAGTGCAGGTGGAATTTTGATAGGTATTGCATTGAATCTGTAGATCAGTTTGGGGGAGTATTGCCATTTTAACAATATTACTTCTTTCTTTTTCTTTTTCTTTTTTTTTTTTAAAAGATGACCGGTAAGGGGATCTTAACCCTTGACTTGGTGTTGTCAGCACCATGCTCACCCAGTGAGCCAACCGGCCATCCCTATATGGGATCCGAACCCATGGCCTTGGTGTTATCAGCACCACACTCTCCCAAGTGAGCCACAGGCCGGCCCCAATATTACTTCTTTCAATCAATGAACACTGGATATCTTTCCATTTATTTATAACTTCTTTAATTTCTTTCAGTAATGTTTAGTAGTTTTAAATGTTCAAGTCTTTGGCTTCCTTTGTTAAATCAATTCCTAAGGTTTTTTTTTTTTTTTTTGGGGGGGGGATGCTATTGTAGATTTGTTTTCTTAATTTCATTTCTGGACTGTTTGCTCATGTATAGAAATACAAATACAATTGATTTTTGGGTATTGATTTTATATCCTGCAACTTTGCATAACTCATTTATTGGCTCTA